AGCACAGGTTGACCAGGACAACTCTGTGAAGGAAGACTGAACCAAGTCATCAAGGCACTAAGATAAGACTTGGCAGTAAGGGGCTAGGGAGACTGAAAGGAAACAGACCCATGGGAGGTCAAGGAGAAGGCAATGCTAAGTTCAAGTGAGAGACAAGATAAATACATTTTTAGGGAATGGAGAGGGGAGCATTTGGAAAGAGAGCAGGTAATCTCATGAGGGCCTGGATTGAGGCCAGCACAAGGGACGAAAATGACCCCACAGTTTATTACGTAGATCACCAGGCAGATGATGGCACCATTATATAACTCAGGAGACTCAGGAAGAGAGGGTGTAAGGAGAAAAGGGGGAGAGATAGTAAGATCCGTTTTGGACACGCTGAGTTTGAGGTAACTGAGATGCTGCCAGATGGTGTCATCCAGGATTCGGCTGGAAATAGTGGTTTAGAGTTGGGAGAGGTTGAAGTAGGAGGGGAAGCTCTGAGTCATCCATGTAAATGGTAGCTGAGGTCCCAGGAATGGATGAAGCTCGTCCAAAAAGTAGGCAGAAGAAAAAGGCCACTGGCCTCCTGTATGGCAGTGTCCTGGCAAAGGTCCCTGAGGCTACCCTCAAGCAGTGTGACCCTGGCCAAATGGCTTCTCTTCTTTGAGCTGAGGATCTGTAAAAGCAGAGGGTTGGATTACATCCCTAAGAGCACCTCCCTAACAATCAACCATCAATGGTTGATGAGATATCTGCTCTGGACCAGGGACATACTTAGTGTTGGACAGACACCAGGACAGCAAGCCAATCCCTGACTTCCCAGTGGGAAAGACAGACACGTAAATAAGTCCTCTCCATATGACTTAAAAGCAAGAGCACGAGGCAGCATGAGGGAGTCCTCAGCAGAAGTGCCTGTCTGAGGGGATTCCAGCAAGGCCCTTAGAGATGGAATTGGATCATGTCTTGAGGAAGTAAAAGAAGCTTCCAAACTAGGGCAAGGTCGCGTGCAAAGGCACTGGAAAGAGAGTGCATGTGGAATACAGGGGAGAGGCTTGGCTCAGAGACCTCAAGTGAACAGGGATATGGGGCTTCAAGAAAAAGGAGAGCAAGGCCAGGCTGTGCAGGGCCTCCCTGGCCTGCTAAGGAGTGTGCCACAGGCCAGAGTGAGAACAGAGAATAAATGGGGTTCTCAAATACAGGAGCAACACAATTAGAGAGCTGTTTAGAGGGCTGTGTGGTAAGAGAAGGACCCTCACACTCTCAATACATGCTAAATTCAAGCTTTGCTGTCTCAACAGCAAGATGACATCATAGGCTCTTATCCTACATGCAAAATTTTTAACTGTTTTTTTAATAGTAGCATACATTAAATCAGAAATGCTCAACATGGCTAGTTATTCATAACACCATTCAGAAAAAGGGGCAAGACTCAAGAGAGCTTAGGCATATCTAAGCTGGAGCAAACCATTTCCAAAAACTCAGTCACCAATCTCAAGATCCTCATGCTTCTGAGATTTAAGCCACTCCTAGGACTTGCTAAGGAAGTAATGACAGAGTCAGAAGACTGTGACTTTGTGTTTCACCAAATCAGACATAGGATGCCTGATCTTAACACTGCTTTTTTCCCTATGACCTCTTCTCGTGACTCCTATATGCAATTTTAATTTTATGCACAGAAGTTCTGGTATCTCTTAACATTTTTCTACAAAACCCAATCTCCCAATCAATACTTTAAAACCTCGAGCCTTCCTTTTCTCTTGCTGCCAAGGAGGGGCGTACATCCTCCCTCAGGTCCTCCACCCTTAGGCTTTTCTTGGTGCCCACTGTACTTTCAAAGTGTCTTGCTGCTTTGTTCTTCCCTTCAAAAAAATACAATTTCAATGGGTTCATCATGCTTTCAAATCACTATTTACTTCTTGCTGTTGCTTGAACTTTTGTAAGAAGAAAAGGCAAAGCAGATCAGAGGTTAAGGCGCAGAGAGCTGTAGCTGAGAGAGGCAGATGTTTAGCACAACACTGAGGCTTCCGGCCCCTGAGCCTCCAAGCGCCCACACAGCTCTGCCCTCTTGGCTCCAGGGAGACTTTCCAGCATTCCTTCCTCTACTCCAACATCCTCTTACACTGGATCACTTTTTCCTTTGTACACTTCATCTTCCAGATCCCGCAAAATCACACGCAACCTGCGGTAAGCACACCTCCTCCAGTCCTTTAGTGAAACACTCCAGCTAGGGAATTTCCAAAAGAGGAAGCCAACCTCCTACCAAAATTTTCACCTGATTAAGCTGCTCTTTTCCCTACAGTTCACACTTCAGAAAAAAGTTTTTAGACTACCTTCTTTTTGTTCCCTTCCTTATTCCCACTGACCATATCCCAACATGGCCTTCTACCTGATTAGCAAAAAAAAAAAAAATGGCAAGGATGGTTATGGGTTTGAGGAATCCAAAGAACATGAAAGCACAACAATGTCAAGTTTGCCTTATTCATGGGAGGACTCAGCCCACACTTACACATGTGAGTGAACATACTCTTCACATTGGACAGAGAAATCCAAATACGGAAACTGATGGCCACCACATCCATAAAAGGTAAAGACCCTGTTGTCCTGGTTTCCTCAAAGAGATTTTTGGAATAGATGTTCTAGAAACTCAAAACTGAAAAGCAATATTTATCATCTAGCTTCTCCATTCTTCCCCATCCTAAAAGACCAAACTGGACACGATATATTCTTCAATGACTTAAGACCTCTCAAGGTTCCATTTGGCTTTACTACACCGACTTAAGAAAAACAGTCACTGTAAGAGGTCAAAGTTCATAATTCAATGCTCTTGAGACACAGAATGAAGCTCTAGATAGGGCCTTCCGGGCCCTGCTGAATTCATTATTTGATTTCCACATTCTTGGCAGGACAGGTCTCACAAACTCAGGATATTTACTGTGAAAAGAGTCCCTGGCTGAGAAAAGGATCAAATAAACAAATGAGTGAAAAACGGTCCATGCAGAAGAATTTCCAGTATTCATTTAAAAGAAAATTCAATCAATGATACCTGAGAATGACCATGCCACTTCAAGTGTACAAATGAATACAAGGATTGGAAAGGCCATTTCAGAGCACAGGGGAGGGATTCTGGAAGTGACCTCCATCCTCCTTGAGAATCACTGACTGTTAGAACCAGAGATTATTTATTCCATTATATCAATGAGAAATGAGTGACACAGAAATGAGTGACAGACCCTATAGTTCAGAGCAATTTTGAAATTAAGGCCAAATGACCTTTCTTCCTTGTCCACTTTCTTTCTTCTCACTGTGCATGGGAAGGTCCATATCCTTCCAGGCAACAGTACAAAGACAGGGAAGTCACACTCTATAGCACAGGCAGTAGCATGAGGAAGGTCTTGTAGCCCAGCAGCCATATCCATCTAGTTTCTACAGATGATGGCCCAGATGGTCACATACACCTATCTGTGCATTTCTCCTCCACTTGAATCACTGTCCCATCTGGGCCAATAGGACAGATAACATTAGTAAGGACATGCAGCAGAAATTATTCTCAAGCTTCATGTACTATGAAGGACCCAGGCCAGGGATCTCATTAAGATACAGATTCTGGTTCCGTGGCTCTGGGATGGAGCCTGAGACTCTGCACTAACAATTAATACCCAAGCGATATCAATGCTGCAGAGCCTAGGACTACACTCCAATAGCAAGGGGTAAGTGTTAAAAATGCTTGCAATCAAGCAAAATTTGGGTTTAAATTCTGGTTCTTCCATTCAGGAGCTTTGTGATTCTAGGCTGGTAACCTAACTTCACTATGCCTCAATCTCTTCATCTCTAAAATGGAAGAGAAAACACCTGAGAAGCACTGGATGATGCTTAAATAAGTTAATGACAGGAGGTTACCAACACAATTCCTGGCATATAATAAGGGCTTGAGAAATGTCAGTTGCTAGCTTCCTCTAAAATTGACCAGTGCAGGAATTATAACTGCCAAAACCACAATAGGTAGAACATGAGAGGTACTCCATGAAGGTTTAGTGGATGAATATAGAATACGCTCACACATAGTATCAGTATTTACATACTCCCTGGATTGTGTGGCTTTTCTGCAGGAAAAATAAAGCATTTTAAAATACGAGAACACTCCCTCCATAACCAACCATCATCATCTCATAAGATCAAACTCAACATTAGCCACTATGTTTAACTACCAAGAAACACATAATTTGTGGTGACTATATATAGTGGATAAAATGTCTTAACTGTAAATGAATAAAGACAACATCAGTCTGGAATCTGTACGTCATTAAGAGAAATCACTGATTTGTCTAATATTTGTGAGTTATCTGTATGCAGATGTTGTTAAAAAAAATTAATTCTAAAACTAGATTCAATTCCAAACCAAAGGGATAACTGCAAAGAGACAAAACAAACCATGGAAAGTAACATTACATTTTAAAGGGCCACTGGGGCAGGAGCACAATCCCTTAGAAATGTACACACTTGCTCAGGAAAAATTAGAAACAGAATTGTTGACAAATGGGAGAGCTTAGTCTTTTAAATCAAAGGCAGGCAAATGTGTCCACCCAAAACTCTTCAACACTCTAAAATTATTTTCAGCATCTCCTACAGAAAGTGGCATCATTAGAATAGATCACATTCCGGGGAGGCATTGTACAAGGTATGCAGCAACAAGAGAATATGATTGCCACCTACAGACAGAAGTGGCATTCCCTTTGCCAAGAGCTGGCCAATCATATTTTAATGTGAAAAAAATTCAACCAAGTCACCTCCCCCCACCTACTTCCAAACCACCAGACCACATTGCTTCATTTAGAATTACTTCTAAGTCATGCAATCATCAATAAGCATGCTGCCTCTTCATTATCATCATCATCCTATTTCTAATTTCCCAGAATCGCTGTGCCATTCAACTATCTACACTGTTTGAGAGCCAAAGAGAACGCATGCCAAGGGATTTCAAACAGGCAAAGTCACAAGAGTGGAAGGATAAATCTGCTTACCTGATATGAATGGGACCACCCGGAATATATCTGACAATCTGCTGTTAACTGGTTCATACGGGGAATCTTCAAGCAGGTCATTTCCTAAAAACAACAGAAAGACTGGGCTCAGATCTGAAAAACAGATATATTTCAAGCACTGTTTCACTGCTGAATCTAAATTCTAATTATGTTATGATTGTGTAACAAAAAGATACTAAAACTTTCCAAGATTTCAAATGCATGTATTTGGCTATGGTTATTTCTTTTCATTCCTCTGCCTTTGTTGTCCTTGTTCTCCCCAGAGTGCCATGAAAACATTGGAGAGCAACTCAGTCTGATCTTGCCAGAAAACTCTCCCACTCTTTGCAAAGGAACAAAATCAGAGAGGAAAGAGCCTGTGACGTCACAAGCTTTGCTTGCCTCTAGGAGCCAATGGAAGAAAAGTAACCCAGAAGAGACCCCCCATTTCTGTTTGCCCAAAACATTGCATGTGGTCAGAAGGCAGGTGCCCTGTCTATTAAAAAGTCCATCTCTGAAACAGGTTTTATTCATAGATTTGGGAAGAAGTAGCAGCTGATAGATCAAATTGGGGTATTACTAATCTATGAGTGTGAGTCTCAGGAGAATGAATGCACAGGATGTTTGGGTTAGATTTACAAACTCAAACTCTAGCCACCTCCGATTCACATGTAAGACCAAAACTTCCCACTGGCATGGATGGATGTGGCAAGTGATCTTCCTCCTCCCTGAGCTACTTCTATGTTAACCAAGTTGAACTGCAGCAGCTGCTTCAAGACTCAGCTAATCTAAGATGACAAATGTTTTTCACACATCTGCCTTTGATCCCTTTTGAGAGGGGTAAAGAAAGAATGGATTCCACTGGACCCTCCTTTATACTTCTTTATCTTATGTCAGAAGAGGTGGAGGGGAAAAAGAGGGGAAACTACAGGCAGGATGCAGGACAAGCCTTGGTATTAGTATTCTGTGAAACCAGCTAAAGCCTGGGGCCTGCTCTCCTTGGAGAGGAGCTATGGGTTCCTTGGGTGACGTTTAATTGGTTCCAACTCTGATGCTCTGAGCAAGTTTCAGATGGGTCAGCGGGGTCTTGGGGATAGCCCCCATGTCCTCAATGGGTGTTCCAACAATCAGCCCCAACAATGCTGCTCAGCCCAGCCGCAGCAAACACCAGCTGCTGCGGTCCCTAGGGGCCAATGAAAGGTCCTCATTCCGCAGCTGGGGAGAAGTGAGCGAAGGATGAGATCAGCCGGCTCTGGGACCGAGGGGCCGACCTGCCTTCGGAGAGGGATGGGGGGCAGGGGGTGAGGGCCGTCAGTGCATACCCTGCAGGCTCTGGTACATGCTCCAGTAGATGCGCAGGCAGTTCTTCTCCTTCTTCATGCCCCTCTTGCAGCGGCAGTTGTAGAGTGACTTCTGCTTCAGGGCCTCCATAGCGCTGCGGCACTCATCCTTTGCCTCCAGGCCGGATGCCAGACTGAAGTTAGTCTCCTTGCCCGCCACGCACTGCCTCAGCGTGCGGTATTTAGTGCTGCAACTCTGTTCTTTCAGACACTGATCGCTGGCTTTCACGCAGTCCAGGCGGTCCACGCCGCTCACCTCCGCTGACAGAAGCAAATCTGCAGGGTGAAAGGGAAGAAGCCTGAATGCCGCGGGGCGGAGACCCCACGTCTCGGCCCGGAGAAGGACTAGCGCTGGGACGAGGATGTTTGACCACCTACAGAGGCTCCCTGGGCGGGGTACGGGTTAACCCCCTTGTCCCAGGGGGTCCATTTTCTGGGCCCTCTAACTCCTACCGCCATCACCTCTTCCCAGATTCGCGGGGGAAGGTGGCTCAGGCTCAGTCCGTAGGTTGTACTCAGTTGGACCTGGAGCCTCAGCTGCCTAGCGTGCCCGCCGCCCCACTGCCCGGCAGAGACCAGGGCGAGTGGCTGCCCCGCCTTCCCCCGCTCAGCTAGCTCGGCCCTAGCCCGCGGGCTCTGGGTGGAGGAGGTTGGTAGCGCTCGGGGAACCAGGCGCGCTCTGGGCGAGAGGCGGGCGCGCCACGTTCTGCTGCTTGCCCGGCGGTGAGCACTGAAACGTTATCCGGAGAAAAGTTTTCCCTTCGAAGTTTGCTTTCCCTGCCCAATGTTCCCCCAGTTCACCTGCCCGCCGCGCTTCCGCGAATTCCTTGGGGCTGGAAGGGGCGTTAGGCCCGAGCTGAAGGACTCGGACCCCTTAGCTCCCCTCCAGGCTGGATCATTAAAAAACACAGGAAAAAAAAAAAAAAAAAAAGGCACGAAACCCTGCTGGCAGTGATGCGTCGCCACCGATTCCCAAGCCCAGAGATTCGTGGTCCCCTTTCCAAAACGAAACTTCTTCCTCCCTCACCCACGGTACCTGCGCTGCAATTTGGGGGAACTGCCTCAAGTGACCCACAGAAAGACTTCGTGGGTTGAAAAGAAAAACAAAGCCGGCGACGGCCTCGACTTACCCAGAAGCGGCAGCGCGAAGTAGAGGGTCGCCAGGAACATTGTGCCGGCTCGAAGCTGGTCCCCGCCCCCCCAAAAATCCCGAGCCGCCGCTGGGTCTCGCCGAGGGAGCTCAGCATGCAGCGATCCTCGGACGACCGCGCTCTTCTGGCCGCCCAAAGTTCAGCTCCATCCAGTGGGAGAAGAAACTCCCGGTCCGTCTGCCGCCACCGCCGCCGACTAGTCAGCTCCAGCGGTCGCAAGGGCGGATGGCGGTTCCGCTGTTAGGGGTCCGACCCAACCTGGAAGGGAGAGAGCGCTTTGAAATGAGAGCCCAGAGAGCTGAAGCCTCTCACTACCGCCCCTCTCCCCTCCCCCCTCCCGCTGTGGGGGACTTTCCAACGCCACGGTAAGGACCCCCCCAGAAGCGCTGGTCTGGACGCGGGGGGGAAGCATGTGCGTGTATTCCGGGAGGGTGGGGAAGGCGCCGGAATGGGAGATTGGGGGTTGGAGAGGTCGGACACTGGCTCCCAAAGTCCAAGGGGATGACTATCCGGCACAACCCAAGAGGCTGCACGCAGGCAAACAAATAAACGTTACTTTCCGAGCGCTGCGAGCGGAGCCTGCAGCTTCCCGGAGTCGGAGCCCTCGGCGGTGGCAGCGGCGGCAGCAGCAGCAGTAGCTCCCTATCCAGTCCGGGCGCGGAAAGAGCCCCTTCTCCCGGGAAGTTAGCCGCCCCCTCCTCTTGCCCGCCCGCTAGCTAGCTTGCTCTGCCGCCAGCCCTCCGCATGCAAACCACCAATCGCTACCCCTCGTCGCCGAACTCCCCCACCCCAGCCCACCCCCCGGGCTCGCCTCCTTTCTGAGGCTGGCGGGCGAGAGGCAACCGACGTCCGGGCTAGGGCCGAAACCCCGTTCTAGCGCCCCTACCAGCGGTGCACTCCCTCCCCAGTGTCAGAGCCTTTTACCCACTCACCCAGTGGCGAGTATCCACACCACCGCCCTAGGAGAGCGTGCGGGTCCGCAGCACCCGCGAGCACTGGCAGGTGCAACCCCACGCCACGAGCGCCCCCCGGGCCCCAAAGTTGGCGGACGTCTGCAAGATGAAATGGAGTGGCTGGAGCGAGAGAGGGAGTGAGCGGAGATGGGTTTCCAAACAGAACCAGAAAACTCCAATACCACCAACCTGGACCCAACCGACCGCGTCCAGCTGCGGCGAGGAGCCAGTTTATTTGTTTATTTATTTATTCTTTGGGGGAGTGTCCCCGCCCCCTCCTCCCTTTCCGGGCCCACTTTCTCCACGCTAGGAAAAAATGATGCGGTAATCTTCTAGAGCTCGGCGGGCCGAATTGGCCAAGACGATTTCCGAGCAGAGCCCATGGTTCGGATGTCCATTAGGGATGTTAGTGGTTATTGGAAGCAGCGCTGAGGATGGCGTGGCCAGATTTCTCCTGGCCAAAGGACCCTCGGCCTGTTTTTGTTCCCACTGCCCCGCAGGACAGCCCAGCCCCTTCAGAAACTCGCCCACACGACCGCGGCAGATGCACACGCGCCGGCGGCTGGATCCTGGGCCGACCCTCACGCGCGCGCACAGGACACGCAGCGCTATGCAGTGGGCCGGGGGCGCAGACACACACACACATGCTCACATACACACATCTTTCCCTCTCCTCTTCTCTTGTCTTCTTCTTATTCTTCTCTCTCTCTCTCTCTCTCTCTCTCTCTCTCTCTCTCACACACACACACACCCATATACACACACACACACACACTCATACACACAAAAGGGCACAATGCACAAGGGCTCTTTCTTAGTGCAATGCAGCCAGACCCTTCTGAACACAAAGTTTTTCCCCCACGCCACTCGCAGCTGTGACTCAAGACTCGGCGCGTTAAAGACACACTCCGACACAAGCCCCCGGAGCGGCGATCATGGGATGCACCCACTGGTTCATCCGTGCCAGGGTATACACATTCACATATGCACAAACAGTAGCTACCTCTCTCCTCCAAAGCTTGGAGACAAAAGCAAAGCCCCAAACCCATTTAAGCGTTTAAGCTTGGTCAGACCCGGCTTTGGGGAATTTATAAGGTGACCTCCATCTTGGCTGTTTCAAGAGTAAATTAAAAAAAAAAAAAAAAGCCGAACATATATACACAGTCCTTCACCCCAGCTTTCCCAGGCATGAACCCCCTACTGCTGTTGGACACACAAGCTCTCTTTCCAGCACGCCGGGGGGCGTCCAGTGCACTGGGTCTAGAGATCTGGTCTGAGAAATAACTCCCTGTGGTGGGTGGCCGTCTGGCCGCTCAGGGTTTGTATTCGATATCTTTGCTGATGTACAAGTTCATCTCTCAGGGAAACAGATTTTGAATCAAGTCTGTGTGAGCCCAGCTGTCAAATCTGTAAACCTATCACACCAGACAATGGGTCGCTGCGGAGCACAGAAAACAAATGCTCGTTTTGATCCAGGAGGGTTAATTGAAAAGGGCACGGTCTTCAGTTGAAGTTTGAGGCCATGGTGTAAGGGCGGGGAGAAAAGGAGGAGGAGTGGGTAGCTCTCTATTCAACTACACATCAGCCAGGCGCGCCCTTCAGCTGCGGTGGCTGCTCGCGCATGCTGCGCATTGTTCAAAGTCGCCCTAGAGTGTCTGAGCTTCAGTGTGCGCCTCAGACCCCGGGGACATCCCACCAATCCATGATCGTCTTCTGCTGCGCACGTGTTCCTCAGGAGAGGTATGAAGAGACTGATGCGCTCATGAAGGGCCCCTCCCTCAACACACACCACAGTAACACCATATGCAGATTTCTAGTTCAGTGTATCAGTTTACACTTGGTTGTTGAGTAAACAAAGCAAACATATGTCACATTTTCAGGACAGATGGTCCAAACCAAGGGCTACTTAAGTTCTCTTTCCCTATCAGTAGTAAGTTACAGGGTAGACGAACTGATAATGTAATTAAGTCTTCCAATCAGTCTCTTTAACTAAAAGAATTTTATTATCATATACCCACACACATATCAGAAAAATTCTGGGGAGGTGTTTTTAGTGAAAGGAAGACTGAAAAGAAATTAAAGAGTTTATCTGAAGACTCTTGTTTCTCCATGGACACCCCAAACATAAAACCCTCTTTCATTGTTCCATTTTGTAAGCAGAAAATGAATGTTTTCCTTTGGGAAATCAGTAATTGGAATTCCAGTTTTTCCTAGATAGACTGCTTATCATTGCTTGGATGGTTGAATGACAATGAGGTTTCATTTAAAACATCATCCACATCATTTGTGTTCTTTGTTTAGAAAAAAAAGGTCCATGTTACCCTATGTATTTTACAGAATCTTTTAAATCAAAATTTTTAAGGGTAGAAGGGTGAACTGAAAGTTCTCCAAATGTAGAATAGGGAAACTCTTTCAAAATATTTATAGTTTCAAGACTATTTCAGATCCACTCCCTTACACTATCCTCAGTAAGTTCTTACTGGTGCTGAAAACAGAACTTTGTTTTAAAACTAATAATAAGAAAACCACCAGCCACTATAACTATGTTGTCCAATAGCCATGTGGCTATTTCAATGAAATAATTAAAATTAAATGAAAGAGAATTGTAGTTCCTCAGTAGCACTAATCAATAGCCACATGCAATCATGTTGGACGGCACAGATATAGAACTTTTCCATCATCACATAAAGTTCTAGTGGACAGCACTGGCCTCCAATGTTGGTGTGAAAATACTTAATATGGTGTATACATTAAATTCTTAGGATAAATTAGTGCCAGCATAGAGTGCTTTATAAGTAGCAGCAGTAGGAAGAGTTATTGTTTTGAGGATAATGATGGTGATGTTGATAAGGATGAGGATGCTTTGTTACTCTGTTGGGGAAGTCAAAAAAGACACAGCCCATGCCTGGTATGTTCTCTGCTCAGAATGAAATCAGTAGGCCAAAAAAAGCCAAGAATTCGAGAAATGGATATGTCAACATCAAAAGCTCATCTCCCAGGAGAGTTATGAATGGAGAGAAGTGTCCTCCACTCTAGCCTAAGACTTCTTGTAGTAGGCGCTAATTAAAGAATCACTACATTATAACTATATTCACCAACTTTTAAGGGTGGGAGAAACACAGCCAGGAAGGCCTTGGAATATAAAAGAAAAACATTGTGATTTACTAGGTTAATACTGTGCATGTTTCCTTGGAGCTTATCTATTCTCATGTGTACAGGACTGATCTCAGGATGAAAGGTGACATCAAAATATCAAATATTAATAATTTTAAAGGTTCATGCAGTCCTTTGTGATGTGTTTTCTCAGCAGAAAATTGGTTTTAATGCTACAAATTAGTTTCAATCCACCCATAAGCACATGAAGTGAACAATCTTCTTGTATTTCTTGATGTAAGTGTTTCTTCATAAGTTAACAGATGAGTCATGTTAAGAATGACAGTTTTATTCCAAGAGACATTTTGTCTTTTACTTTCATTGCTTTGGCCTTATAGAATGCTGTGTAAAATACATTCATTTTGTAAAATTAGACTCTCCAAATTCATCAGGAATCTTTAACTCGAACTAGTCCATCAGTGTGCATCATTTGACATCAGACAGTTTGACAGACTTACCTCTACATAAATCCATTCATCAGTCTCCAGGTATGCTATGCATTTATTTAGTTTTTGCTGCTATGCTTTTGTCCATTTGGTTCCATCTGCATAATATGTATTTCATCCTGATGTTTTCACATTCAGTTCAGCTGAATAAGCCAGTAAGGATGGCAAGACCCCTTCCTTCCCTCAGAACTAACAGTTCTCTATAGCATGGTCCATGGCCCCACTGAAATCTCTATCAAGTCTGTTGTGACACTGCTTTGTAGATAGTTGCTCTACCCCTTCTCCTCAATTGGAATATGAGCTCCTTGAAGGCAAGGAGATATTCTAGTCATTTTCTTTGCATTCCCAGCTTTTACACTGATAACTGACAAATGGTAACCCCCAATAAATGCATATTTTGATTGCACAAATAATGAGTGATGCTGCTTTTCATTTTCTGACACCACACCATAATTTTACTGACGATTTGCATGAAATACCTTTACTCTATGAGCAATACTAAATATAAGTACCTCATACAATTACTGGTATTTCTGTTCCAATAATAGTATCAAATATGTATTATTCCTTTGGGGATTTGACATTTAAATTTTTAAAAAAAAAACAAAACCCATTATTGTAATAGAATGCTCTTTTTCTGGTTCACTTTAATAGTAACATATGACATATTTCATTTCTGGGAAATGATAGCTTGCCTTAGGTCATATTTTAAGGCATAAAGCCAGAAGCAGAGTAACATTCCCACCTGAAGTTCTCTAATCATCTAGAAATGTGCCTCTCTCTGGGAGAACGGCCAGATTACAACCACCCTGGAGCCTTCATCTTCAAAGGCAAAATTTTAAAAGCCAAATTGTCCCCAAAGTGTTAAGAATTCTTCTAAAAACACACAAGTCCTCTTGCAATCTTTTAGGGAAAAAGAAAATATCAATCACCTAAACCCGAGAGCTGGCATAAGGGTCTCTATATGCTGACACAGACACCCCTTCTTAGGCTCTGCATTGACACTTGGCCTTTGGCAATACAGGAAGAGCCTGTTGTTCTCAGATTTCAGAGACCTTTTCCAGGATGACTATATTAAGATGTGTCTTTTGAACACCATTTGCAAATGGAAGTTTCTTATTGGCCATCAGGTTGCCTGACCCCGAGGAACCTATCATAGGAAATCACTCTTCCTTAGTTTTCAGGTAATTTTCATTTCTTAGTACTAATAAGCCAGTGCAAGGATTTTTAATGCATTTGTGGAAGAATATTCGTGAGAGTTGAAGTCATTTGTGCTTTGGCCTTCTGCCACAAAATGCATAAGGTGTGCAGCCATGATGAAATAAAGTGCCTGTCATGTCTTATTGTTTGAATATATGGCAAAAGATACCCCATCGTCTGAGGACTTGCAAGGTTTTTTAGTGATTGCCAAACATGTTGGGTTAAAAGCCCTGAATGTTGCAATCCAGGAAGGATGGGGGCGCCTGGGTGGAGGGAACACCTTTTCTCTCCACCACTCTCTAATATAATCTCTAAACCCTGTTCCAGTGGGACTGTTCCTTCAGAAGAGCAAGAGGGAAGCTTAATCCCCAGCTTTGTCCAGTAATTAGCGCCTCTCTCTCTCTCTCTCTCTCTCTCTCTCTCTCTCTGGAGGCACCAAGCACAGATGCCCATCCGGATGAGCTCTGGGATGTGGAATGAAAACAAGACTGAAAACGTTGACTCACTTCTACAGAAGCCTTTTAGCAGCCTTTAAGGCAGTAAAAACTTCTCATTTCTATTGATGTTTGTTAGGTCTGAAATGAGGAGATGGGGCCCCTCCCACCAGGGACAAACCGGCAGAAGCACAGGAGGCAACCAATGACTTGGGGGTGAGCAGCGC